AGCAGCCTGGGGCGCGGATACCTGAATGCGATTGAAGACGAGGGAGGTACGAGGGTAGAGGAGGATCTGGCCGGAAGCAGGTGGCCGGCCAGAATGGGAAGCGCCACCGGCAGAGGTGTTGCCTGGACGGTCGAGTGGGGAGCTACAAACGCTGGAGGCCAGGTGTCCACCGCTCGCACCCAGGCCCCCCCCCCTTCTGCGCTACCCCACCCTGCCCGCGTACAATGTCACGCCCGGCCCAGCCTACTGTGGGCAGCTCGATGGGGTAGGAAGTGGGACTATTATTATCTTTGGACGTTAGATGTGTTTTCTTTCTTTAGGCCGATCGGTGTTTTCTTGTGATCCAGCGCCTCTTCTGTTGGATGTGGTAAAGGATATTGGCTCAGAGAACTCAACTAGCGGAGGGACTCAGCTTCAGGATGGGAGCAGAGGACTCCCAACCCATGACTGGGTAATTACCATCACCTACTCGACGATTGGCTTAAAAGGGCCTCTTTTGCTTGCTGTCTTTGTGCACGTTGTCCTCACGTCCTCCTGTGTGTCTCAGTCTGATCCCAGCGTTACACAGGTCGCGACTCTGCCGGCCCCCTCGTCCGCAACCAAACGTGCGCCGCCGCAGCGGCGGCAGCCAGGAGAGGCCCGTATGCGCCCAGAGCCCGGGAGCTGCTCAGCTGGCCCCTCCGACAAGGACCTGCTCCCCTGCTGAGAAACGAGCTCTGGTGAGAGGCCCGAGGAGGCAGAGCCAGTGGGGGCAGCACGCGGCGCAATTTAGAACACATAAACACGCTTCTGTGACTAACAACGTGCTACCGCGCCAGTCATCAGGTCTTTGAACAGGCTTTTATCTATTCTCACCAAAAGTGATGCTTACACTGTGCCTACAGATACATTAGATTTTTTGCTCCGCACTAGTTTGAATAAAGCGTGAGTCAGAGTTTATTTAGAGTGGGAAGTTTTTTTTCTGGGACCTAAACCATTGACTTTTTTGTTTGCGGGATGGATGGGAGCCAGTTAAATCTGAAACAAGAGATAACAAATCCCAAATATTAGTTTAAGATTAAACGTTTTATTAAAAAAATGCTATGACCCTTCACAGTACGGGGGCTATTTTGTAATGTTTGTGAATCTAAGGCTAAAACATCAAGGCCCACGTAGTGTGTTGCATGAAAGGGTTTGCTGATACCCCTTTGTCCCTGATTTCTTTAGAAACTGTTGTCAGAAAGTCAAACTAAACATAAGTCCACAGTCGTTCTTGTCCTCTTGCTGTGGCCTATTTATTTCCTTCTAAAAATGGGTTATTATTATTCGTGCGCCCGTCTAAATGTGTCAGTGTTTTACCTTCCATTCTTTGGTTTTCTTCTCCTTTTCCTGTCTGTATGCCTTCTTTCCTTCCTCATATCTCCTCCTCCTCCTGATTGCACCTCTTATCCTCCCTCCCTTCCCTCCGCCCCCCCCCCCCCCCCTGGCCCTGGCCCAGGCCCTGCGGCGCTGAGGATGATGTTAGGCAGTATGAGCAGGACCTGGCTAAGAGGCTCTACCAGGCCAGAGTGAGGGCGTCTCAGGGCCGGGACGAGGCCCCCCAGCCCCCCACCTCTTCCTCCTCCTCTGCAGCCTCCCAGCTCAGGTCTGCTCCTCGGCCCCAGCCCCCAGGGCCAGCCGCACGGCATCGTGGGGGTGTGCTGGGGTGCTTTGGGGTATTTTGCTAGAGGCCGAGTTAGGAGAGGTCCAAGTAAGCACTGGCAGCAGCAGTGACCGTGCTTCCTGTGGACTCTAGAAGCTTCTGCACGTCTTTGCTGTTTCCATCTCTAGGTCCCCCCCCCCCTCTCTTTTGTTTCTCTGCTCCTCCCTGCAGCACTTTTTATTTGCACCTTGCTGTTCTCTTGATTTCCATTCTTTATACTAACACACATCCCACAGTCAGTTTGCAAGCTATGTGTGAGTAAAGGGTCGGCCTACTGGCAGTAGGTAGTCCTTTTCCTGGAATGCCTGCCTCTTTTTTGTGAAATTGAATTAAACTGGTTGTTTGTGACAGCAGACCAGGACAAGGAGCACCCGACATTAGTAGTGATCGGCCCCCACCTGTAGCGGTGTGGGCCTCAGTGACTGCCTCTGTGTTTGTTTCCTTGTGTTCTGCTTCCATGTATCTGAAGCTGGTTGTTTCTCCTGTAGGATGAAGTCTCTGGAGCAGGATGCACTGAAAGCACAGATGGTCATCGCCAAGTCTCGCGACGGAAAGAAGCGTGGGACACTCGACCAGCTGACGGAGTCACCCTCGCCCGCCCCCACCCCCTCTCCCACACCTATGGAAGGTAAGAAGCTGCTGCTTGTGTGAACCACTGAATAACTTTTGTTTTAAAAAGAACTATATAAATAATCCTATCCCACTTACCTACAAATAAGCTGTAAGGCTGTCTCACTTTTCATTTCCTGTTTTCTCTTTACAGAGCTCAGTGCCCGAGGAGTCACCTCTCCGGGTCGGCTGGTAAGCACTCATCTTTTTTCATAATTTCTTTTAACAGGTTTATCAAAGTGAATATGTGTCCTTAGAGCGGACTTGCAGATATTGACTCATCAGATATTTGAACCGAGCTGTAGCAGTGAGTCTTCAGTTTAATTTAAGGAACTTTATTTGGGAATTGAAACGAATAAGATTGATTGTTTACAAGCTGGGAAAGGAGAGTAGATTTGCATCAAATCACATTTGCATTAATCCACCATCTTGCTCATTGTCATTCTAGCCAATCAGAGCTGAGAACACACTCCCTTCATGTGCCACAGCTGGCTGTTTAAATCACCCATTAGCCTCTCTGCCTCCCCCCTTTCTATTTCCTCATCCCTTTTCCTCTCCTCTGACATTTTCCTTCTCCTCTCTTCTTATACTTTGTCCTGCCTCCTCCTGTCCTTGTTCTCCTCCTCCCTCGACCTCTGCTCATTCCCGTTTGCTATCCTTCTAGTCCCTGTCGTCAAAGAAGTTTGACTACCGACAGTTTGCTGCCATTCCTTCTTCCAAACCCGTATACGACATCCAGGTATTGGCTGCATGCTGAGTTCCCGAGGCCCCGGCCTCCCCAACCCCCACTCCCAGCTTTCCCTGCTGCCCCTCTTTTAGTTTCTGTTAATCAACTGAAATCAGTGCATTATGTTTCTGCTCTGTGATTGGTCAGTAATTCCTGCTCTGCACTACAGGGATTGGCTCACTAACGCTTACTTCTACAATTTTATTCCTGTATTTAACAGGGACAGTGCACCTTAATTAACATTTCTGTAAATGTGCCAGAGTTAGCCAAGAGGCTATTTTTCATCTGTAGTCCCTGGACAGATTTTAAAAGTCAACCTAAAACACATTTCATTTAAAACATGCAACACACATTACTGGAATACAATGAAGAGACTTTACGTAAATGCCCCCCCAATCCTACCTTCCTGGTCTTTCACATATCACTCACCAATGTAATAGCATCCATAGCAGTAACCATGTGTCTCTCACCATACTAATCAAGCACAGACACTAACACTCACCAGCTGCAGGGACAGTTTTTGGTTCCCACTAACCCAAATGTCTTCCTGGGGTGGAAACTTCCACAAACTCTGCATCTCATCCACTCTCACGGTCACTTCCATCAGCTGCCTGTTCGCATGGGTCGCATATCAGGCCGAGAAATATCATCCTACATCACATTTTCTGTCATGCGCTGGCTCTCCTCCTGCTCTTTGTTAGGGTGGAGGCTTTGTGTTAGTCTGTGTGACATGGTCTTCTCTGTGTGTGGAAGAAGAGATGGGTGGTGAAGCAGGGCCATCCTGCAGGGAGCTTCTCTGGAAATGGGCTTTTATTCATTTCTCGGTCTATCTGTGACTGTTAGCAGAGGAGGAAGACGTACATGGTACCAGAGTGTAGGAATACTCTGTTACAGTAAAAGTCCTTAATTCAAAAATGTTACTCAAGTAGAAAAGTATTAGCATCAAAATAAACTTAAAGTACTCATTATTTAGATTGGTCCAGTCCAGAATAATATAATAATGATGAAGACAGTTTGAGTAAAGAAACATGTCATTTTCTTTAATGAGTTATTGCTATAATGTGTCAATTTCTAACTCATAATACAATATTGTGACTCCCACAGCTGACGTGTCCTGTAAGATAAGATCAGCTAGCAGTCAATAGTTAACATGCTAGCAGTCACATATTCTCTTGCAGGTTATGAACACCTTTGTAGAATGTAAAGAACCCTTCATCATTGATCTGTGTTGGTGTGTAATAGCATCAACACAAAACCAACTGAACTTTGTGCCAAGTTTCCTGTTGTGCGTTGGTGACTCTTGTTGGTGCTGCACTGTTGGCTGTCTCTTTGTGTTTGCACACACAACAACCCCCGGACCTGATGACCTAACATAACCTCCCTTTCCCTTAACATGGCTATCTCTCCTGGGGAGTGGTGGAGCAGAGGTGCTCTAACAGACTGGGAGCGCGTAGTGTTGGCATGGTGATGGCTTCCCCTGGGATACAGGTGAATGACACACACACACTCTCAGTTATTGACAGTCTTCCTCTCTCTTCCAGTCCCCTGACGCAGTGGAAGAGCTGCAGTTCATTGACGACGGCTCCAGCAACCCAGGTCAGTACTGCAGATATGCAGTCAGTCAAATGAAACAAAAACAGGTTGAGTGAAAGGAATGAGCGTGAGAAAACAGTGTGGACATTAAGTTACTCATTTATTACCCGTTCTATTCCCTTTCATTCAGGTGACTACCTGGGATAAGCAGCTCCTATTGGTAGGATCCTCTGTGTGTTTGTGTGAGATTGTAAGCCTGACTATGAGATGTGTGCATTTATACTCTAACATGCCAGTTGTGTGGCCTAACCATGGGCCTAACACTGTGGTTCAGGTGTTAAGAAGGGTGTGCTTCGCCTGCTGCTGCCCTTCACATCTGATGCTGGATCAGACTTCCTGTTTAAACTAATGATCTCAGTCTAACCACGACCCAGATGTGCATGGATTTGTTGATCTAACTAGTTATAGGAAAATAGTTACTACAAAGCTTTGAGTGGTTTTATTATTATGTTTACATGCAAACCAGGTTAGTCAGCTGACCTAATTATTGTAGTGATGACTGCTTTTTCTTACCGTACACATGTGTCAGTGTCGCTCTGAATTATTTTGAACATGAGGACACATTCAAGATGTCAGTATCTCCTTACTGTTACTCCTTTATTGTAACTGCCTGAATGAGTTTGCATATTGCATGGAAGTAGGGGCTTTTACTTAAAAATATACAGGAAGTGATCTTGCTGTTGTGCCACATGAACTACTTCCCTCCAATCGGCAAACTCATTCAGGGAGTTGCATCTCGACACTTGATTGTAAGCATTTTAGCATCCCCTCTGCTGGCAGCATTCTTTCCTGTATGAAGGCTTTATCATGCACATGCCAATAATAAACCCAGTTAAGTGTATTTACATAGCCAAGACATCCACTTCCTGGAGAACCCCAACGCAACACAGTTACTCAAATACATGAAATCCCAGTTTGTTACAAACGTTTTTTGATAAGGTATTGCCAATTAGACCTTGAGGTGGAGGTTTAAATCAGCTGCTAAAGACTTTTGCTTGTTTCCAGCTGCTGATGTGAATGTGGGGCTTCCTGCGCAGGTTTCAGGGCTCCCTCATTCTAACGCTCCACAGGAATCTTCTTTCCAGTTGTCTCCGTCTTTCTTCCCCTAGTCTGCAGCTGCCGCTGGGGAGTGATAGTTGTATAGAGAAGCTGAACTGCAGACGCTCGATAGATACGATGACTAAAGTTGTTCTTGTTTTTTTTTGTCTAGTTCCCGCTGCGAGCCCTGAGGCTGAGGTGCCCCCCCCGCTGCCTGCCACCTCGGCCCTGGAGGAGATGGCCCTGTACAGCAACAAGCGCAAACTGAGGCAGGGCCGCCGCAGCCTGGAGACCGCCGTGCCCACGTAACGGCTCACTGAGAGGAGAGAGCCCACGACATGATGCGCACACACACACACACACACACACACATTAAGATGCACTGTGGAACACAGAGTCACTAAACACTACACAGTAGAGCGAGATTTCCTCTCCCATATATAACCACTGCAGAGACGACACTCTTATATCCTGCTGCCAGTCTGTGGATGGTAGGTTGCTGAGCAGTCCCTACAGGGCAACAACCCTGTAGTGTGGTTAGCTAGCTGTCACTACTTACAGACCATTCTCTTTTTGTTGTTGTTGTACACTCGGTTTACCAAGTAGAAGCTTATCTATTTTAAAAAGGAAGCGGCCGAAGTTTTTATTTTTTTTATTTTTGCACCTCTAATGATTTTGCTGTTTTAAAAAGAACATACTGGAAGAGAAAAGAAATGGGTCATAGCTATACTAACTTGTTGAATGATATTTTTAGCCTTTCAGTGACTAGATTGTAAAAATGTCAGGGGTTTCTAGAGACTCGGACAGGAGTGTATATATTAATTGAGGGAACATCCTGCTACCTTCAGTCACAAATTGTGGAGAGCTTTTTAAAAAACAAAAACAGTACATATCTTTTATGCACTGCCACCTATCAGCTTTTAAAGAACATATATCTTAAGTAATTTATTGTTTTTAGCGTTTTACTCAAATTGAAGGCCCTCTGTTTTAACCTCCTTTGCTTTTGGGAGTGCATGACTGATGGTTATCGTAATGTATCTTTAAATACTAAACTAATTAATTTCACTTTATGTACACTTATGAATTCACATTTTTAGAGAAGCATATCAATAATTAGATCTGTTGGTCATACCTGTGATTGTTACATTCCCCATTGAGAGAATCTGACTACACTAAGCAGGCAGTTTTTACAGATAAACATATCACACGTTTGGAACCATGCATAGTATCATTTAATAATTAACGGTACTCGCCCTGCCCTGTTTAGGGTCTTGTTTTTTTATTTTGCAATGTGAATCATTCATTTGTATCCTTGAATTATCTGGAGGTATTCCAGAGTGATGTGAAGGTAGCAGGTGTTTTATTTTTCTGTCTATTTAAATCTGACGCCACTGAAAAATCATTTTATTATTGTGTGAATAATGTACAAATACTGAAAGGAAAGCAAACGTCGGGTTGAAACTGAGTCAGTCTTACAGGCTTGGTGCTGGGATGCTCTCTGCATGTATATTGGTTTGTTAATGGAAGAGCTGCGGGGGGCAGAAGCAATTAGAAATCCCTCTCAAGACATTGTTCATGCTCCACATGCTGTCAGTTTATGTATCTGATGGGTATTTTTGCAGAATCACAGCATAGTAGCCTATTTAAAGTAGGGTCTTTTAATCATAGCTTTCCATGTTGCTCTCACTGACTGAAATTCAGTTTGTTTGATAACATTTGCAATGGTTGATATCTCTTTTTTTTTTACTTGCAGTAGGTAATTCTTTTTTTTCAGATGGGTTTCACTACATTATTAATGCAGTGTTTCAAGTTTTTGTGTTTATTCTTTTGTCTTGAGTCCTTTTTTGGGACTTTTACTTGCAAATATGTCAGAGGGAAAGGGTCAGAAGTTCTAGGGTCAAGGGTTAGAGCTCACAAGACTGTAACTAGTGAATTTGTACAACCAAAGAAGTCTATTTTGTGGTTCAGGAATAATAAATTTTACTTTTCATTTAAGAAGCTGATCTGTTGTGTAGAGTCTTTTTTGCTTTATTAATGCACTGATTGAATAAAGAAAAACTCCAAGAGAAAAGAAGATGTGGAGACCAGAGCTCACCAAAATGTGCTTTTTACATTAGCTAACGGGGGGGATTTGAGGAAGTGTTCTCTGTCCGGACCCTGAAGACGAGCTCCTCTGCTCTGGAGTGACGCACAGCGACCGGGTGTTCCTCTGCGGAGACATTACTAAAGGTTACACTTTCTGCACATTGTTGATAATCATATCTCTACTTAACTCTGGAGGCTACACAAAGGTGATTGGTGTAAATACAGACCTATCACTATTCTTGTAATATCATTTAATGAAATAAGTCGTTGTTCAAACCCACCCTTCTCAGCATTCTGTAGCGGGCGTTGTGGAAGGACTCAGAGCTGGAGCTCTCAGGAGGAAGCTGGTTATCATCACACTGATATTAAAAAGTCAGAACCAACATTTAGTTATATCTGTTACTTAGTTTCTTTATGGAACACTACCTGAAGCATTACATAGCTTTTACCTCAGAAAGACTCACTTGATCAAGGGTGTTATCCATAGATGTCTCCAGATCCTCCTCGGGTACCAGGGAATACTTTTTATACCACTTCTCAAATTCTGGGACACAAACAAGCAATTGAGTACGTATGAGGTATTGAAGCACCTATGAAAGCTCTGAGCTGTGCCATGTAAGAAGTTGAGAAAGATATTTAGAGAACTGACCAGATAGCAGGCGCACCCTGCACTGATCCACCAGGTGCTGACAGTAGTTGATTTCTGCCTTGATGTCGTTCAGCACCTCATATCTCTGCCGGTACAGAGCCTTCAGCTCTCTGAGCTGGTTCAATAAGGTGTCATCTGGCTCCGAATACCGACCTTCATACAACAAATGAAATGAAAAGAAGTCCTTAATGCTTATCTAAGCAAAAATTATCAATTTAAAAAAGAGAACTCTGCAATTCAGGAAGGTGAATGATTTGGTTTGATGTGTGCAGTTTGTGTTGGCTCTAAACTGTCATTAATGAAGTCATTCAAACTTAATGAACCCCTGGTATAGTTGAAATTCCCAGTATATCATCAACAATGTGCACTGCGCAGTATAGCATGTTGAAAAACATCAGAACAAATATCATACTTAAAAATGTCAAACATATATTATAATTTGTCAAAAAATATCAGATGAATATACATACTAAATAGTCATAGTATGTTGTTAAAAAGGTTGTATCATAATACATATTGTAAAAGAAAATATTAATATCTGATTGGTCGGGACGTTGCGAGGCTCGCTGCTGCGAGGAGCAGACAGGTTTCCGGGTCGGCGATACAGCGAGAACAAGCAAAACTCATCCTGAGCACACATAAACACTCACAGTCGAAGTAAAAACAATAAGTGTGGCTTGATATTGATTAAGAAAAAGGTTTAGAACGCTGTGAGAATGGGTCTGCGGAGAGCATTTCTCCGCCATCCCAACTTGTCTATTAACAGCGTTCAGGGAGCTCTATGCAAGTCAATGGGGACTCCCACTATTTTTATAGGAAACGTCGAGAGATGTGCCCAAACGACGTCGTCTTACTTTCACGTAGCCTGTGTAGGACGACAGTTACTAGTGTACTAGGTCGACAATTTATAAGTGTCTTTACTTTAATGGTTTTTTTATACTGTACTTTGAGTCGATCTAGCATTGTAACATAAGAAAATGAATGTACAAACTATATGAGAGATCAGTCAGCAGTCTTTGCTCACTAGAGTACCCTTTGCAAGGAGACAACACTAATCCGAGTCTAGTCTTCGATTTCTTCCTGCAGTGTCACGACCTTCTCCTTGACAGGAAGCCATTATGTAACGCACTCATTTCGATACACTTTGATGCTTAGAACATGACAGAAACGGTTAACGGGACAAAAAAAGAAATCGATTAACCGTTGAACTTTTTTAACTCGGTCGTTAGTTAAATTTTTCGGATGTTCATCGCCTTACCTTGGTACACTTCATTACCGTAAAAGTAAACACAGGTTTTTTGTGTGTATAAGTCAACGAATGTGTACTCCTGCAAATGATACTGTTATAAGTTGAAGTGATCCTTGGCCGTCGCATGGCATGCTGGGCAACAGAGTCCGGGCGAACCGGGCCTAGCTGTCCCGGTCCAAGTCTCATGGACCTCCCTTCGGACTCCTTTAGCAACACTCTTCTACATGTCTTTGTGTTGTTATGTGTAAAATCTTAGATGTGAACTTCGGAAAATTAGAAACGACGTACTGTAAGATAATGTCTAGATTCACAGTCCGTCCAGGCTCAGTAATAAGCGGTTCAAGTTCGACCGACGTCATTCAGAGTAGATGGGAAAACTTCTAGTAGTCGGAATTGTTCATCCACAAAGAAATCTTGTTGTTGGTACCCTGTGACAAAAAAACAATGTACATTCAGTAAGGTGTACCAAAGAAATACAACACTCGTCCACCTGTCCTCTTCTTTGCCCATAGCTACGAGCTAAATGCAGTCTGGATGTTAACCCCCTCCTGCTGGTTTCTCGACTATGGGCACGACAGTTCCGGTTAGAGAAGACGTAAGTGACAAGACGGTCGAGCACCTTTACTCTCAAAAACACCCACAGTAAAAAAATGACGGTCGGACAACCGTTTGTTGAGAACATTAACACCGACACTATGTACAACGACGCACATTTGAGAAAATCCCTCACCCTATGGTCTCCATCGTGACTCCCTTACTACTCGACCGGTCGAAACTCACAGTGTGTTTGTGGGTCGTGGGCCAGTTGGTATCGGTTTTGATTTTCAGATTTCCTGTTTGGCTCCCATTCACTTGAAATCAAAAAGGAGGCTACATGACTAAACTAGCAGCAAGAATTTCATCAAAGTTCTATTATTCATATATATAAACGTGAAACTGGGACTAGTCAAAACGTACGGACCTAAATTTGTGTGTCAGAAAGGATTACCTGCGTGAGTACACAATAGGTCGGTTCGTTCTCTGTTCACTCTCCTGCTCCCATGGCGAAGAGATCATTCGCAAGTCTGAGACGGCACGGTTTGGTTTCGATTAGACAGGTCTCGGGGCTTTCCCTTGTCCCAATGTCCTTGGTCCGTGCCCTCTCGGTCCTCTGGTGTCCTCAGGTCTTGGTTTACCGTTTCTTGGGAAAGTGGGGCCATACACAAACACGCCATATTTTCACCAGCCGAGTCTATAGCGAACCATATCAGATGTGTCATTAAACTACAAAATATGGTACGACAGAGGACGGGTCGGGAAAATATGGAGAAGGTTTCGCCCTTCGGAAACTACAAAATTTACCGTCTCCGGTCGGCCGTCCGTTATTTAGCGGTAGGAAGTCCTCTTTGTCGGCAACGATGCACCTCGCGGCGAGCAGAAGTAGCCGTCAGATTGACTGCTCAGTTGCGCAACACTCTATCTCTAGACCTAGACGTGGCGCACCGGTGGTTACGTCGCCAACTGATCCCTCTCTCCTCCTCCGGTTGTTCTCCAATGAAGTTACAGGAACACTAGGTACTGTCTGGGAAACTAAATGAAATAAAACCGAAAAAGAATTTCAACAAAAGCCAAAATGGGGCAGGGGAACACACAATAACTTCCAAAAACGATACAATTACCAGACGTCTCAGTTTTTGGGAGTTTCATGTGGGACATCGCTCATTTTGAGCAATTGTGTCTTTCGGCTTTGTCTACAGAAACGACCGGGGTTTTACGGAGAACCTTCTAAAGAGTAAAATAACAAAAGAAGGACCCAAGACACTGCAACTTGTGGGTTTCAGTTGTGTTTACTGGCCTAACGGTTTTACCTGGTTAGGTGCCTCTTTGGAGTGTGTGGTCCTACGTGGAACC